CCAAATTCAATCAAGTAGTTATTGAGAAATCATCGCTAGAAGTTTTAAAAAACTTTCGAATTTATAAGTAAATCCCGGCGGCGATCTGCAGGTCGTTTGCTGATGGTTAATATATGTAATGTTACACAGAACTGAAAAAAATTGATAATCTTACTATCCAATCAAATAACGAAGCATCGAAGACTATATTCTCTCGATTTTCTAAAACTCGCGCTGTTAAATGGCTACTGAAACTTGCTATACAATCATTCATCAAGATGACAGCTTGGATCAACCTTCACTTCAGGAGCTCAAGACAGCACTGGAGAAAGGTTCAGAGGAAGCCAAAATTGATACCATGAAAAAAATTTTGGTTACGATGCTCAATGGAGATCCACTTCCACAACTTCTTATGCATGTAATTCGTTTTGTGATGCCTTCGAAAAATAAGACTTTGAAAAAATTACTTCATTTCTACTGGGAAATCTGTCCAAAAACGAATCCTGATGGGAAGCTTAAACAAGAAATGATTCTGGTTTGGTTGGTGCTTATTTATCAATTTCGAGAATATGTTTTAGCCCTTTGTGCTTGATCATTTGAAAAATATCGAGGCCCATTTCACTGGTCATGTCGTTATCAATATTTTGGTAAATGAACGAAATTTTCATGCATGTTATAATTTGTTTAGTAATGCGTTGAGGAACGATCTTCAACATCCAAATGAGTATATAAGAGGCGCAACACTTCGTTTCCTTTGCAAGTTGCGTGAACCAGAATTATTAGAGCCGTTGTTGCCATCATGTAGATCTTGTTTGGTAGGCGTTTGTAGGTGTTTCGAATGATTAACGTTCTTTTTAAAATTTATATTGATCAGGTTCTCTTAAATATTTGCAGGAACATCGACACTCTTATGTCCGAAAAAACGCAGTTTTTGCAATTTACACCATATATAAACATTTTGAGTATCTTATCCCTGATGCCCCGGAGTTGATTCAAAGTTTTTTAGCAGCAGTAGGCATCAATTTAGTCTTCGTTTAAATTATGAATAAAGAAGTTTTTTCATATTTTATTACCTTAAAGGAAGCCGATCAAACCTGCAAGCGAAACGCCTTTGTTATGCTTTGCAATACGAACCAGTTGCGTGCCGTTGAATATCTTAATGACGTTTTCGATCAAGTGCCAAACTTTGATGAATTGTTGCTGTTGGTATTGTTGTAGTTAGTATTGTTGTAGTAAATGCTGATAGTGCTGTTACTGAGGTAATTATTATCTATGTGG